CCCAAATTATACCTTCACTGCTATCTGTTAAAAAAACGGTAGACCAAACTTTTATATGGTCACATACTTAATAGGATAAAGATTCACAAAATTTTAATTCTTTTGTGTACTTAAAAGTCAGGTTGCATCTCAGTTTATATATATTTCGATAGCCCTTGAAATTCTTTAAGCCTTTTTCTGGAAGCCTAGGCTACCAGAGCGCGTGTGGACTCAAATTTTTGAGTCTAGTCCAGTCCAAGCCCAATAGATTGAGTAAATAGTCCAATGGACTTTGCAAACCATTAGAGCATTAGGTGCTTTTCCGCGCTGAAATAAATTTGATGAAAATAAAGTGGTATATACAGACTTTAATCAACACAACAGAATTCGATGTAATTTTTCGAGCCATTTCTAATGGTGATGTCCAGTTTAGCCCAAAACGTGGTCATTTTTCCTTTAATCGTTTTTACGACGAAATCTCGCGTCTTATATCCCGATCGGGATATAAATTAGACTAAAATTTGTTAAAGGTTTCTGTTCGAAAAAATAGTTGCTGGATGCTTGATGCACTTTTGTTCAAACATAACAGAATCCGAAGTAGTTTTTCGAGCTCTTTCTAATGATGACGTAAATTTTTCCCTAAAACGTCGTAATTTTTCCCTTAATCGTTTTTACGACGATGTTTTATATACCGATCGGGATATTAATTTTTTTCTATATCCTGATCGGGATATAGCTATATCTCCATCGGGATATATATTTCGATCAAGATATAGGAGGTATCCCTTTACTGTCTTATCTATTGTTTTAGCCAAGAGAAATAATTAAATTACTAGTTACATGGAACAGCAAGACGATGATGCAGGAAAAAACTGTTTTTCACCCCCTTTTCCGCTCGAGAATGACGGAGAATAATAGAAACGTGACTTTTCTAATAAATTCTGTCATTGGAAGTGGAAAATACGAATGGGCCAACTCTCGCTCAAATGCGCCCCCGTCCCTTCATTTTCTAAAATGATCCTTGAAGTATAAATACGATTATTTTATTAGAAAGATTATATCCATGCACAGTTTCTCTAAAATAAAATATACCTGTAGTCAGGTGGTGAAAATCCTGCATTTTTGTAGAAATTTTACTAAAGTAAAAGATTTAATTTTTTTGACATGCCTCATAAAAAGAGCATGCTTTCAAACCCTTCTACTTCAAATAGCAACTTAATTGGTTCAGTCATCTTGATTTTAGTTTCTTGATGCACCATACCTATTGTTTCACATGATATGTTAAAATCAATAACCAACTACTAACGAGACTCTTCACAGTTTCAACACGTTGTCGCAGCCTCTTCGAGAAAGACAGAGTTACCGTAACCCTTTTCTGACGATTCATGGAAATAAAGTATGAAATATCCAATAACCAAATCTAATCGATGTAAATAAAACTTAAAACAGCTAGAAGCTTTTTTCTAGCTTTAAAACAGCTAGAAAAATTTCGCGAGAGTATATAACCTAGATAATTTGTATCGTGACTATATAGTCTACACTGCCGTTTTTTTCTTTTCTTCTCTAGTGTTGGAGACAAATTTGTACTAGTGTAAAAGTAAAGCTTAAAAAACAATTTTCAAACCTATTTACATAATGTATCATAGAATAATGTCATGTGATAAAATACATCTGTTCATTTAAACTGAATTCTTAAATCAATATAAAACAGTTATAAAAAGCCAAGGTTTTTTACTAAGAGTTGAAAATATAAATTGATACCCAGCAATAACCATGAACGGAAATTCATTAGTATTATTACCCTTATTTGCAATTATTTGCTTGTTCTCATCGGAAAGCGTTGGTAAGTTGGATAGTATGACGTAACGACTGTGAAATTGACGCGAAACATGAAAATGTTTTGTACACATTCGCAAAGAAACACTTCTATAGACAAATTATCTTAGTTAGATTTTTTCGAAATTTTTTAAAAAAAATGGTCAGATTCCTTACGGTTTCCATCATTTTTTCCTTTTATAAGTGGAAAGTTTTGAGTAATTCAAGCAGTTTATTTTATGTTGACCTGAGTTAGATTGAAACGCGTCAACCAAACGTGAGTTGACCCTATCTGACCCGAATCAATATCTTTTACATTGGCCCGAACCCGACCCGACCCGTTTTGGTCACTGTTAGTAATGTTGTCATGCGTTTTTCATTTGTCAGTTGTAATTTCATGGATAATAATAAAAAAATTAAGGAAAAAATAGATTTAGTCAACGAAGTATGGGCGATATCGCTTGTGTTCTGCAAAATATCATGGTTAAATTAGAGGCGACAAAAAAACTCAAGGCAGGAACAAAGAATATTCCACCATGCGGCTGCTATTTCCAGTACAGGGTGCTGCCGAACGGCAGTTTCATCAGCCCGATATTTTCGCTGCAGTTGACAAGCTTCTGATGTGGCCATCTGTCTCGTTACTCGTTACTGGTCATCAACCACAGCTCTGAACAGAAGGCTACCCTGACGCACAGTTCTTTCGCTAATTACTTCGGTTCCCCATACGCACTTACTAACCACGTACCAGCTTTTCCGAAAGCAGCGCGAGCTAAACCAGAGGAGCTGTATTGTGCATCACAACGTGGTGAGTATGCTACACAGTGTGCATTTTTCCATAAGCAGACAGACGTTTGCTATAGAAGCAGCTCGAAAGTCTATGAACACTTTTTTATAGGTTTTCAGCTATGCTCTTTTCAATGATGTGTTTTACGAAGTTCAAAGAGACTTTCATCTGGATTTTCCAGAGATCGAACTTTAGAAAACCCACACATAAATATTCTGGAACTTTATAAAGCGCATCATTGCATAGAGCATATCTGAAAATCTATAAAAAAGTGTATATAGACTTTCGGACTGCTTCTATAGCAAATATCGAAATCCTTAGTCAAAACTGTGGCTCTATGCTTCGAGTTCAGGGTTTCGTTAGATCCAACAAGTTTTTGCTCAGAAAGGTTACTAATCGCACATCATTCGATGCAGTTTTTTACGTGGATCCTGAGTATGTTATTTTTATTGAATAAAAACACTTCTGGGACGAGAAAAATGGAAGATACCTTCAACAACTAGTGATTTTTGGAAAATCTACAACTCAGGAAAGGAAACTTTTAGCTAACTGTTTGCACACGCCCTATATAGCGCAGCATTTTCTGAAACTTTCATCTAAATTGGAGTTTCCGCCTGGATGCACACTATGTGCTGATCCAAGGCACTAAGACATAAGTAACTTGTCCAAAGTTATTACATGTTTTGGCGACGCCGAGATTCGAACTCAAAACTTTTGACGTCTGTGACGAACAACACAGCCACTAAGCCATGCTGTAAAAATATTGAAACCGGTTAGCGAGCGTTGCAGATAGCTGAGCTACTTTCGGTACCCATTGCAGCTGACTGCATAAACGTACACGCCATCGAACGGATGTTGTAGTGTTCGCTGTCGCTAGTAACAAATTGGCGAACACGATTTTCAATTAGGTGAAAACCGCATTTAGTAACTTAATTCCCATGAAGAAAGCATTTCTCAGAGTTGAACCTTGAGATAACAGTATGTAAAATTTAATTTCCAACAATTCTTCCTCTTGACACAAATTTTAGGAAAGCTTCCTTCAGGACGAAAATACGACTTTATTTTATTTTTCACTATGAAGGAAGCGTTTCCGAACATTGTGTCTAGAGAAAGACGTATTGGAAACTGAATTTTCTGTATCATTGTCTCTAGGTTCGACTCTGATAAATGCCTCTTTCATACTGAATAAGTCTAATTACGCTAATCTAACTAAACATCTCTAAGTTCAATTCACTAATTCATCAGAATAGGACGAAAAATATATATTTTTAGTTATATGTTCCTGTGGTACAGTAGCGTACGGAGGAGATTATTAATTATTACACACAGAGTTCGAATCTCTGCAGGAAATTCTTCTTTTTCGTTTTTTTCTTTCTGTATATATATATATATAGATATACCCGCTGCAACTAGTATTGAAACAGGTAGTGGGTTTGTCCCGCTGATTGGAAGTCGAGAGTCATACAAAACTGATGTCAGTGTCTGCACTAGAGAAAACTAGTACAACAAACAGAGGACAAACCGGAAACCAATGAAGGTTAAACATAATGGCCTATGGCATATCAGAAAACGACCAAAAGTAACGTCTATGGGCAGTCATATTGGTCATAACTTTCTGCGCGAGTTCAAAGAAGGAAAAGTACCTGTGTAATTTATGAACTATAGATAAACAAAAATTGATGTTACACGACATTTCCGCGAACGACATTACCGCGAGGACTTGTTTATTGGAAAAGATGAACAAATGAGTCTGATTTTGTATTTTGCATGTCATGTTTTTAAACATGAGTGAAGTTATATGGTTAATAGTTATTATGTGATACAGTTACATATATCCAGTTTCATTGCTTATCATATTTAACCGGTTTTCTCTTCGATGCACGATAAGCTGAAGCTCACTATTTATCAGCATTGGTTAGTATATTATAGCACACATTTGGGTATTTTTGGCAGTGTGTTGCCGAAGGTGGGGGTGTGGGCAGTGTGAGAGTGAGTTTGAAAAGTAGTTTCACACAAACATATTTTCACGAAGCAAAACTGTATATCTGTAACTGTATCACATAACGATTATTCACTACATAACTTCACTCAGGTTTCAAAACATGATGTGCAAAATACAAAACCAGGCTCATTTATTCTTCTTTTCCAATGAACAAGTCTTTGCGGTAATGTCGTTTGTGGAAATGTCGGTGTATCAGAAATTGACCTTCGAGAAAATAAGAGTTTGGTGTATAGCGGTTTTCGTCATGCAGTTCGGAAAGAATTCTTACAAGGAAATAATCATCTCTAACAGTATTCGTCGACTAGTGTTCGTTCGACTGCTGTCACATTTTATATGAAAAATCTTTTATCGGTTGTACTTATTTGTAGCTACGGAAGACTGTTCTATCTACAAATCAGATTTGAATATAATTAGTTTAAATCCATTTTATGTTCGAACACAGTACTATCCGACTATTACATCAGCCGCTTGGGATGGAGTTCAAATAACTGCTTTTTTAATTAAAAACGATCGAAATCCATCTTCAAATATTGTTTGTTTGAAAAATTTAACAACACTGACAGTCATAAACACAAATTTGACATTAACAGCAGATATTAGAAATTTATTAAATTTAACTAGACTGGTTATACAATCAAATAATGAAACAATTGGTGAACATTTACCTGCTGAACTAGGTGAATTGGCATTATTAACCTATTTGGAATTAGTTGATCTGGGACAATTAAAAGATATACCACAAGAACTGAAACAGTTACAAACATTAAAATTAAATGGTTTACCAAATTTTGAAAATATATCCGAAAATTTACTATCATTACAAACATTACAAATACAAAACTGTAAAAATTTCACACAATTGCCATCAACCGTTAATCAATTTAAACTTTTATCATCATTAGTAATAACAGAAACAAATTTAAATACATTGAAATTAAATGATTTAAGCTACTTGTCAGCAATTCAAGTGTCAAAAAATCCACAGTTAACAACAGTAACCTTGATAAATTTATCATTTCTATCCGTATTAGATTTATCAATGAATTTAAATTTAACAGAATTGACCGTCGATAATTTACAAAAGTTATATAGTTTAGATTTATCTTATTGTCAATTGGAAATATTTCCGGAAACAATATTGAAACTATCATCATTGGAAATATTGAGATTGCAATATAATCGGCTCACATCGTTACCAGAGCAATTGTCGACTAGTTTACCAAAATTAAAAGTATTGTATCTATCAAGTAATAAATTTCAAGGTCAATTGCCACTGAAACTCCCCGTATTAGCCAATTTAAAAGAATTATATTTATCACGAAATCAACTGACAACTTTAGAAACTATTGGCCAATATCAACAATTGTCGATATTGAATGCGGATTTCAATAACATAACAGCAATACCAATGGAAATAATGCAGTTATTATTAACATTACAAAATTTGGACTTACATCAAAATTCTTTAACATCAGTACCCTATCAGATGTCAAATATGGCAAAATTACAAACACTCAATGTACAACTTAATGACATAACATATCAAGAAAAACAAAACATACAACAAGTGTTTCGACAAACATCGATTTCTGTCACCCTTTAGATTGAAAAATATTATATTAAAGTATAAGAACGAAGTAACGGTTATAACAATGTTTCATTTAATTTTTTCGATATTGTTTTTTATTGGACATTCTACAATAAAACTAGTTTTAAGATAATAGCAATACGTTCATTATACGCCTAACTATCGCTATAAATTTGAATCAAGAAGATCACGTAGTTTGAATGAGTATATACTCATAGCAAAAAATAACTGTTTCTTCTCCTTCTCTTATAAATTTTGTTAAAAAGCTTTGAAAATTCGTAAAAGACAATATAAAAAAAGTTGATACTTTCAAGACTTATTTTATTCTGGCACAAGTGCAGGCAGTAAGATGAACTTCTATTTTTATGTAACTGATTAAATTAATATAGTTTTTATTATTAATCTTTTTTAGAGAGTTTCCTTTTGCACAATTTAGTGCAATGGGAAAATGCGTAGTTGGAGAAGTACAGCGTATGAAAGGTCGGAAGATCGAATCCAGGAGAAGAACACCTAAAAATTATTCCAAATTAATCTTTTTTGCTGAGTAAATCTAATAATTAATATTTTTCTGTGCGGAAGAGAGCATTCTGAAGTTTCTGTGTGGTAACAAAAAATGTGAAGGATTATATTCTGTAATGAAGCGGCGCCATATAAACCTGGTATCCGAGTCAAAGTCCTATGGTTTCGAGATAAACAAAACGATTACTGTTGTTTTGAAAATAAGCATTTTCAAAATGACCAGGCGGTTGCGAAGAAAAGCCATTTCGACGTAGACTTAACTTTCCTATATTTTTGTTCCTAGGCCGAAAGTGAGAAACACCTCCTTGCTGAGAAATACGCTAATTAGCGTTGTTCTCGTTAACTAAGCGTTGTTGGCTTAAATAATGGGTTATACTGGTTAGTGTTCCATGAATCCTACAATTTTACTGAGAAACGATTACGATGATTTTCATCGAAAAAGGGCTATAGAAAGTGAGAGAGACCGAAAATTTTAAATATTTACTAACTTATGAAATAAAGCTAAAATATGATATACTTGTATTACGAACGAGAGAAAAATTAGATATATTCGTTAAGCAAAAGAAAACAAAATAGATTTCAAATTTAATCGATAATCTTGCCGGTTGAAAGCAATAGCACAGTCTATTAATTTGAATGGTATATCTTCGTCAAAATTAAAACACACTTTAAAAATGAGTTCTTTACGAAGAAGTTTTAAAAGAAGAGTGACAGGCCGATTGATCGACAAGTTCTTCTCCTGACGAAGACAAAAGTACGATTCATAATATTCGAGCTTCTCTAACTAATGATGAACAACAAAAAAAATCTGCTTCTTCACGAAGAACAAGTTCAGATGTTTCGAATCATACCTCTAGAGTTGACAAAGATCATGCTGCATGCAATCATTGCTTAGTCGATCGTAAACTAGTATCAACTTCTAAAGTTGTACAGCGATCCTACGAAAACATCTCATGGCAGTATACCGATTAGAACAGTTTGATTTACTATCGCAACGAGTAAGAATCTTTCTGTATTATTGTCAAAAGAAAAACGAGGGTAGATCGGATGGCAGTCAACTGTGTTACTCACGATGATCGTAGTTTGAGTAATTTCAGAAAAAGTGGAAAAAATTTTAAATGGTCTTTTAGCAACCTATCACCATTCCTTCTCCCGACAGAGTATGGTTCAATGGTCCAAAAGCACTGACAAAAATTTAGAGCATTCAAATCTTTACGAGAAAGTGATATCGATCCGGCACCTTTTTTTATAAACAATGGTAACCGACACCTTGGTACTCCAACCGCCGTTCGAGATTGGGAAGAGCGATTTCTTTGCATTTAGTTTTTGCAAAACTGCGCGTGCGGTTCTGGCTCAAGTCAATTAAATGTTCTTTCAGTCAAAGATTTGTGAATCAAAGCGGAACGCCACTTATGAGATAAAGGATAGACGTTTAAAAAAGTATGTTGAATAGTATAGACCACTGATTTAACCCTTTCAGGACCGGTTTAATTTTTATATATACAGTGCTGTTCAAAAGTTTAAGACCTTTTTTATTTTGCAATATCTCGGCTTCCCTGATTGATAGAGACTTCATACTTTCGTCAAAAGAAAGCTATCACTAAACTCTACGGTATGTGAAAATATCGTTAAGTTTCAACTTTTTTTGGTGGAGTTAGGTAGAAAATAGTATTTTCCTAAAAAAACGGAAAAAACGCATCTTCAGTATTTGGTTTTTCCTAACCAAGAGATTTTCGACAAAAAAATTAAAAAAGCAATGTCTTGATAGAGAATTTCAAGAGCTATCTAACAAAAACATTTTTGACTTTCGATTCGGTCTTTGTACTCTAAACTCTCTTTTACTGAGAAGGACCGAAATTTTCGGAAATTTTTTTTATTTTTATTAAATTATTCAAATGTATTATACATCAAAAGATAGAGCGTCAAAAACTGCATAAGATAATGTATTTGAAATTTGATTATGGTCGAATTTTGAGGGACGTTTCTTCAAAAGAAAGTTTTGAAAAACGCGACTTATTCCGATTTTTGACGTTTTAATGACGTTTTAAAACGTCACCGGTCTCGAAAGGGTTAATCAAGTTCACAAATCAGAGTGGGGATCCGACCAAACACCGTACCAGTAGGCTCAAAATTTCATGTAGATCAACTTGGCATACTTTTTGCAGTGTTAGGGTCCTTTTTTCTAGGTATTAGTGGCTGTTAGTGATCGTAGTCGGTGTTTTGGCTGTTAGTGGGTGTTAGTATACTCAGCGCGACGAGCTATCGATTGGCGGTTTCACATTTTAATTTCGGGGATTTTTTACCTATCCATGCCTATATGTACAAAAGGACTGATACAACAATAATCATGAAGAGCACAAACAGTATAATATTCTTTATCGTATGAAATGAAATGTTGTTTGATAACTCACTTTCATGCTACAACCGACTCCCTCTCCCCAATCCTGAATGTTCATGTAGATCGAACACCACTTAATTCGCACTCAACTTGTTTATGTTAGAGGAGGATATTTTCAGTCAGCTTACGTCAAAAATTTTCAACTTACACCTATTAAACTTGTGTAGAAATTGTGTAGGGTTTCTTGGATATAATAAGTAGGCTCACTGCTAAGGATGGTAAATTTTTGGCAAAAGTTATTTCAGCGTCATATTATTAAGCTATTGATATTAATTATATATTTATTTACACGTCAGTTATTAGCTGCGTGAAAATATTCATCTACATTTTGATCTATTGATTGTACATTCTGAACCAAAAATGGGTACAATATTATCATAGTATGTCATGGAATTCGTACGATGAATTTATCGACTGGTTAAACTCTGCGCGTTTAGTTGATCTTTTTCGTTTAACTCCACCATTATTTTGTTCATGTAAATATGGCCTTACAGAATACTCTTGCGCTCATTCATTGGACTTAATAATGATGTGGGATCATCGTAAAGCTCCACAGCCACTTGGGATAAGTATGAGTAAAGGTCGCCCAAAGAAAGTTAAATTAGCTTTAACAAAAGACTGAATATTAGTGAAAACCTATTGTAATCTAGCACTTTTTTTTGTTCTTGAACTATATTTCTCTTATTAAATATACTTTACTACTGACAAAATCACTAATTAATTTTCATAAATTAATTACCGAGCTCATTTCTCTCTTTTTACCGACGAAAATAAAGTATACCGAGCTCGTTTGTATCTTTTCAGAGTATAAATTAATTTCCGAGCTCAAATATCTCTTTTTTCCGAGCTTGTTTAATTTCGTGTCCTTCTTTCTGTACTATACTTGACTTATTTGATTTTTATATTTAACCAGTATCATTTTATGTTATGAAATTGTTTTAATCAGCATCTATTGATAAACGAAAAATGTGGAAAATAGATTCCCTTCACTATGAAATTAGTGTTTATTCTGGTAACTTTCCAGATTAAAAACTTAATAAATTTGGAGGTACCCTTCGTCAGTTTTTCTGCCAGTTTGTAGTGCACAACTTGTACCCTGTGCCAAGCAATTTTTTAGGAAAAAGGAGGGACTGACTTTCCAGAAAACCGACTTTCCAGCGTCAAAAGTTTTTTTTCTGAAAATTCATTTCTGATTTGTCCAGATTATAGAGAATGTCGAATTGTTACCGTAGAAAATTTTTTGAGCATCAGTCATTTTCTGGCCGAATTATGAACGTCTATAATGCCTTTTATTCCGTCCTGGAAAAAAATACCATATTGTGTGTATGCACTGTGTTATATCCTTAAATGGCGTAAGGAGACTATATGTTTATTATAGTGTTCGAAATGGGAATATTATCGATTAGATAAACTGTTTGATACACATTGTGTATCAAACAGTTTATGTAAGCGATAGCATGGTGTATTACACATGGCAAAGGTCTTTCATTAGAAGTTGCCACTTTTTGACTTCTCACACAAAAAGTAAAACAGTTATAGCTGTTGATGCTATAGCATCATTTGTTTGTTTAACTCGAGATTAATCGACTGCAGGCACATTAATCACGTTTTACATTTTATTGAAAGTAGGAAAAAAGTATGCATCTTTGACTCAAATAGTCTGACTACGGCAGCGTATGCAGATATGTGCGCCGATAAAAAATTTTCAGCGGCGGCGCGAGGCTGTGAAAATTTCCTGTACCTTTGGCGGCGGTGCGAGGTTATGAAAACTTCCTCCGCCTTCGGCGGCGGCGTGTAAATATTAGTTATCGGCGGCGAATCTCATAATTTAAGTAAAACAACGTTCTCTTTCATTTCTGGCACGTTCTTCGCGCCCTGACTGAATTTGTACGTTGCCGTATACGAAAAGATGGAAACGCGCTGCGCGCTAGATGCCTAAGGTAAGAACGTACTAACAAAAATAGTCAACATTTTCTGAAACAAATTTTCTCCGCCCTCGGCGACGACAAAAGTTTAACGACATGGCGGTGGCGGAAGTCAGAACAGTTTTTCTCCGCTGTCAGCGGCGGCGGCGGCGGAAGTCGTAATAATTTTTCTCCGACTTCAGCGACGGCGGCGAATCGGCGCGGCGCACATCTCTGAGCGTATGTCGTTCTTTTATTTTGTATTCTGTTCTGTTTTACTGTAAATGTTCAAGAAGGGGACAACCATGGTTTGCTGTCCCTATAGAGAGTACAAGATGTGGAGTGATACAGAATCAAACAGAAAGACGACGATAGAGGAAGTACCACACATTCAGCTATATACTCCACATGGGTGAGTGGAAATGTCAAATAAAGAAAGACAGTAAATGTTTGGTTATTGCAGATACCATAGGTGTTAATCAGAATTTTAATGGGAGAATATCTAAAAACTGTAGTCACCAATATGAACTTCTACTCGTCTTAAGACTTCCCGATGAGTTTCGTAAAAAACTGTCGCCACCGTATAACCGTGAAGAAAGTTCTTATAAAGTCACGATGAGAAGACATGAAGTGAGTACAGGCCGTAATATGTAGTACACAGGTACACGGTTTCTCCAAACATAACGGTGTGACATTTTTGACATAGTAATTCTCAATTTTTATAGAAACTATAAGAGGTAGAAGGATGAATCTACCGCCATTTTGTGCAGTTCGCTGTCCTCTGTCTCTGGTAAAAAGTTGGGAAATTTGGGTAAAAGGCCCTAAATTGCGAGTACATCCAATTGAACGCTAATTTTCAGTGAAACTATTTGAGCAAATGGAAACTGTCCAGAGCGAACATTTAGAGAAACTTACGAGCTATTTAGTATTTAAAAAAAAATTTTAAAGCCTTTCCCTCGCTTATAAATTTCAATAAATAAATGTGACGACGTGACACACCTTTTTGTCAGTGAATTTTCAGGCACTTAATGTCCTCCAAAAAACTTGATTTTTGTATTTGGCATGTGTTTGATGATATTCTATCGATTTATATGGAAAAAAATGTTGAAAAACTTTTTCAGGCTTTCAAACTGGAATCTTGACAAATCAAAAAGGCATAAGCTTTGTTCCTAAAGTTGAATTGTCGAAAAAAATGAGCCATTTTGTAGAGTTTCTAGGTCAAAAATTTAAAATTAAACTTATTTCACTAAAATTTTTATTTTTATATGCTGAGAAGGTAGAATTCGTACTCAGCGCGAAATTGTGAAGTAAAATAATTGAAAAGACAACGGATTAATTAGTAACCAGGTTATTCTCGCGATATTTTGACATCGTCTCGAATAGGTGATGGAGCGCGCGTTGTCAACGCTCATTGTTCATGATCATGTTTACCGAATTTGGGCATTTCAAAGGTATAGACATCGCTTATGTCCCATTGTTTTGCTTGTAGCTGCATAGCGCACGATAGAAATTTTTTGTACGACGCACATCGACGTGTATATTTAACACCAACTGATGTATATTCGATTCGAAATTTGGTTAATTCATATTGTTCAACAATAGTATCGATATCTGTTGGTGATTTCCATAGAGTTTCAAAAATCCAGCTCTTACGTGACATAGTATAGTAAAAAGTTTACGTAGTGTGACTGTTTTCTTTGTGAAAATTACTTTGTATGAAATAACTAACTGCATGGTCAGTGAATATTTGTTAGTTCAGCCGTCGCGCGGTCAAGCTATTAGTAATTCCGTTCTCTTTTCAACGCCGTTGTCCGATAAATCAAAAAATTTCAAAAATAACTCTTCGCGCTCCATTCTATGATAATTCTGCTCTCTTTTCATATTTTATCCATACTATTAATAATCATCGGGTATGATTTTGTCCTTTTCTCGAAAAGAAAAGAAATTGTGGTTTATTTCCTTGAGCCACAAAATTACACCAACCAACGTAAACCAAAATGTTATCAAAAATGTTACAGAAAATAGTATCAGACGGGGACTAAGTGCTAAAGAATGAGGATCCAAACTAACTCAGATGTACAATACGCTATTCTCTATTAAGAAATAACATCGGGAAAAGGATTTTATAGACGTGATTTTGAGTAATGTTTTTTAGGGCTCATTTTCTATGCGAACTTGAGCTACCTTAAAATATTTTTTGAACGTTATTTTTGGCTGTATCGAGCAGAGGACACTTGGTTGTATCTGTTTCCTTTCAAATCAGATTTTATCTGTCCCATTACTAGACCTTAAATATCACATAAACTCTCGGCAACGAAAAATATTAAATTATCTAATGAATCCAATAAATATGAGAAGTTATAATTTATATGTTGAATATGTTAAACAATCATTAAAGAACTTAATAAAATTTAATGGTATTTAACATGAATAGAAGATACAAAAACCAAACAAAAAGTGTCCGAGATTAACAGAAACAGAGAGACGTTTATGTTCGTTAATACTCTTAAGTCTTCGTATTCTTCTGGTACGCAAAACGATGCTGGTATTTTTCTTTTGTATTTGTTCTTTAATGAGGAAATGATTAGTTACAGATATTGTTGTTCTACAAATTCCACCAGAGTAATTCGCTGTGAAATGTTGAGGATCGACGGCGTCAATATTCCTGTTCATTTTGCTCTGTTACTCATTTTTACATACACGGCGTTCTGAAAGGCAAAAGTGCGATGCTGGTACTCGTCAGTTGTATATTGTCATACTTCGGTTTTTCTCTCCTTGAAAAGGAAACTGAAGTACGAGTAACATTAGCTTCCTGTAGCAGCATTCATTACACGGGGACATCTATCGGACGGCGTACTTCAATACAGCTTAAGTTTTGAAAAAAAAATAGAAAGACATTGCACTAAAGATTACAATGCTTGACAATATGTACGTCTATTGCTATTGTCCGCTGGTTTGAACGAACAAGATAGTCAATTATCGACGAAGACAGAGTTTCAATTTCTTTCGAAGAAAAAGAAAATACATAAGAGAGATAAAAGAAAAATAGAACAGAAAAGTTCTTTTTCTCCTCTCTCTCTCTCTTTCTATTCTGAACTTTGCTACTGCATATCTCTCTTACTGTTATCAAATATGTATACAAATACTTACATTGAGGTGTGAGGAATCAAAGTAACTTATGTACATAAGATACAGTCATCAGATACTTACATTTTGAGGTATGAGCGATCAGAGTAACTTATGTAGATAAGATACACTCTTCCACGTTCCTTCAAATTTCTCTGTGAAAGCATTAGTTCGTTTTGTTTTTAGAATTTGGTCTTCTCTACGTATAAAGTTCTACACAAGCATTCAACAAGAACAATGGCAAATAATATGTATCTCTATTTAATATTCATTGCTTTATTATTAAGTGATTGTTATTTTATAAATGGTAAATTAAATTGGAGATTTTATTGTCAAAGTTTGACTTAATTATAAAAAAACGTAACTCTTTTTTTTCTTTCAGGTTTAACCGGTTCATTGAAGAAAGGTAGTAATAGTGGAGTACAACGTAAGTCTTTTTTGTTGCTGTTCAGAGGGTCTCGTGTACTTTATTCATATGACTAAATAACTTTTTGATAAGTCCCAGAGATGTAACCACCTGAATTTGTATTCATTTTGTCTGTTCATAATCTTTTTGGTAAAATTAGGAGTTACTCACAGAGACATAAATAAGTTAATTTTTGTGCTAATTTGCTATGCTAAAGGTCGTGGAGAATAAAAGAATTCAGAAGCAAACCTAAACATATTTCTTTGATGTTCTTTTTTTCTTTTCAGTGGAACGTCATGATTAATTATTATCTTTTCTTTTTCTTAGTTAACCATGTTGCTGATAGACATCCATCTTGCTTTCATCAAGAGTAGATAACTTATGTTTTCTTTAAGAGTTGTTGCACGACGAGAACAACCTTTTTACGTATCGATTGTTCAATCGATGTTTGAGTTTTGGGCTCAGGATTTTACTTTAGGAAGAGGCAGCCAATATAGGAAGATTCCCAAAGTTTTTTCATTCGGACTTACATCGTTAAAAAGTTATAGAGCTTTTCGTAAAAGCCCTATAAATTGCCTAAAACGATACTTGTATAAAAGTCAGATTTGTGATGTTTGTATCTTGATCTGGGAAGTTGATTAAGAGCTCATAACTGCAGCGTAATAATAATAATATAATTTAGTAATATAATAACATACTTTTTTTAAGCTAAAAACTTTGTTATTGCATTGGATGTTACTTCTATCCATTATACAAGTATACCTCTGCTATGAATTATGAAATTCATTCATACAAGTCTCTTGGTTGATGCACGGCTGAGCTCGAAAGTCGATAGAAAACGAAAAATAGCCTAGTTTCCAGTTCCATTTTCTCGTCCGATAGTGTCTCAAATGTTGGAACTATAATGCCATTCTAATCTATGAATCCAATACTATTCATGCCTCAAAGCCATTTTGGGGGAATTCACATACGGCTCTGGAAAGGGTCTCTAAAAATCCGTTTTTTGAAGTTCACTTAACATGGACGTCCTTCGAGAAAAATGACAATAGTTTATCTCATTGCATTTCGGAGCCTTGAAACATTTTTTTTCTGAATCTGCATTGCAAAATGCATATGAAAATGTGATTCTGAAGTTTGGGAAAAAATTTGTTTCCGAAGAAACTCAAAAACGTGACCCTCCGCTCAGAAACGCATCAAATCTTTTGCCTTAAGAGATGAAGCCTTGTTTCTCACGGCATTCGAACCGTCCTGAAGCGGAGAACATAGTTATAGCCCAGCTCTAGATAACAGTTCTTTGCAAATTTGTAGAATTTACAAGAAAAGCTCTAAATATTCATTGTCGGCTCAAAGCTGCATGAATAGGAAGAAAAAGATTAATTTAGGGCTTTTTTTGTAAATTCTACAAATTTGCAAAGAACTGTTATCTAGAGCTGGGAGATATCGCATTCGAATCAGAATTTTGCGGGCTACAATCATGCCGCAGTAAGGAAAGTTTTGATTATTTTTTAGAGTTTCTGAAAAACTGGTTCTACAGAAAACCGGGTCTTCAAGAGCCATCGGAAAAAAATCAGAAATCTGTAGCTATAACTATGTTCTCCGCTTCAGGACGGTTCGAATGCCGTGAGAAACAATGCTTCACCTCTTAAGGCAAAAGATTTGATGCTTTTCTGAGCGGAGGGTCATGTTTTTGAGTTTCTTCGGAAACAAATTTTTTCCCAAACTTCAGAATCACATTTTCACATGCATTTTGCAATGCAGATTCAGAAAAAAATGTTGTGTCAGGAGAAAAAAAACAAGAAAAAAGGCTACATCACCACTCTCAGCGGTATTTCAAGAAATTTGACGATCACTCATCATTAGTGAAGCTGTGTGATGGAGAGATCCATTACAATGAGAAAGAGTGATCTATTTATTCTATTTCTACTTCTTAAAATTCTAACAAAATCATTCTCTGTAGGTAAGTACACAAAAAAAAGAAAATAAAGGTGATTTATGGTCTCTATATATTCATTCTAAAACAGAGAAAGTATTTTCTGTCGTCATCATAGTCAACATCTTTGTATGCAGTCATCCGTAGACTATGTTTCCGAACTCGTGGTTTCTCTGCACCATAGCTGCAAATACAACGTTCTTCTTCTTTCTAGGAATTAAATGTAATGAAGATGAAGAAGATATCAATACTAGCATAGACCAAATTCGTTCAGTTATTAATGATACATTCAAATTCTATGATAATAATTTACGTAATATTTCAAAAATGATTCATAATTATCGTGAAACTGCCTATGAAGAATATAAATCATCAAAATTACTTGTCGATTTTTTAGAGCAGGAAGGTTTCACAGTTGAATATGGTATTGCTAATCGTTCAACAGCATTTGTTGCAACTTACGGAAATGGTGATGGTGGTAGAACTGTATCTTTTAATTCCGAGTACGATGCTCTACCTGTTATCGGTCACGCATGTGGTCATAATTTAATTGCTATTGCAAGTTTAGGTGCTGCATTAGCTGTTAAAGAATTTCTGAATGAAACAAAGTTAAATGGTACTGTTAAATTATTTGGTACACCAGCTGAAGAGAATGGCAGCGGTAAATTGGATCTTATTAACGGAGGGTATTATAAAAGTGTTGATATGAATATAATGGCACATCCATCACGTTACTCCGGTGCATTCATACCATATCGTGCAATAACGAAATTTGAAGTTGAATATTTTGGTAAATCAGCACATGCAGCCATTTCACCGTGGAATGGCAGAAATGCATTAGATGCATTAATATTAGCATTTAACTCCGTAAGTGCACTGCGTCAACAACTACATTCATCCTATCGTCTACATGGTATTATTGTTAACGGTGGTACAGCTGCAAATGTTATTCCGGATTATACGAAAGGTATATTCATGATTCGTACGCCAACTGTCAACGAATTATTAAATGAATTAAAGCCACGTGTTATTGCATGTTTCATAGCTGCTGCAAATGCTACAGGATGTCAAGTAAAAATTACGGAAAAAGGTTTAAATAAAGATGTTAAAATAAATAGTATACTTGGTAATCTTTATGAATTATATTTTTCAAAAGTTCAAGGTGTTAATAGTAGTAATATTCTATCAAAATATGAACAACGTGAAATATCCTCAGGTTCAACAGATCAAGGACATGTTTCCTATGTTGTACCAGCCATACATGCTGAATATTCAATTCCTACAGAAAATCAACAAGGCCCACATACAAAAGAATTTGAGAAGGCTGCAACGACTGAACAAGCATTTCAAGAAACAATTAAAGCATCAAAATCATTAGCTTTCGTTGCTATTGATTTTTTAGAAGATGATTTATTTGCTAAAAATGTTATTGATGAATTTAAACTGTCGTCATCGTCCTCTTCGAGTACTACTACTACCATACCTACGACACCGTCGTCATCGTAGAGCGAGCTAGAATAGCAGAAAACGTTCTTGTACTATTACTGTCTTTGTTTTTTGTAAGTTTTCTGTTCTGGAATAAGAAGGAACGGATATCTGAATAGAAAATACTAACACTTTTTTCTGTCAAATATATTATCAAAAATAGTAAAAACAAAGTCAAAAAATGGATACCGAACCGAAGGAACTATTCGCAAATATTTTGAACCGTAGATTCAGAATTTGCTACTAATCAAACGAAATATTCAGTGTCTAAAAGGACCAAAAGTTATAGAAAACAAAGTGATTCGAACGTTCTCTTATAATTTTGCTTATAGTACCGTATATAGAACAGGACGAGCTTTTTATTTGAGACCAGGTTACAGGTGTGAGTGCGCTTCGGAGCTATATTTCATTTTAGTTCCATGGATATACTTTTGAATTTACAATTATATTTCGACAACCATATCAGCTAAAAATAAAAGAAATGATTAAAATTGCTGAACAATTATTTTCGTCGCCATCAGGAGGTCGTAGATTAAATTTCGGTAGTGTAGAAATGCAAAAGTTTTCCGAAAATTTGCATATAGCATATTGTTGTAGTACATCATATAATTTACAATGTAAATTAATTAATTCAGATGAATATAGTGAGAAGAATGACAGAAAATGCGAACGAAAAATATTAAATTATCGAATGAATCCAATAAATATGAGAAGTTATAATTTATATGTTGAATATGTTAAACAATCATTAACGAAGTTAATAAAATTTAATGGTATTTAACATGAATGGAAGATACAAAAACAAAACAAAAAGTGTCCGAGATTAACAGAAACAGAGAGACGTTTATGTTGGTTAATACTCTTAAGTCTTCGTATTCTTCTGGTACGATGATTAGTTACAGATGTTGTTGTTCTACAAATTCCACTAGAGTAATTCGCTGTAAAATGTTGAGGATCGACGGCGTCAATATTCCTGTTCATTTTGCTCTGTTACTCATTTTTGCATACACGGCGTTCTGAAAGGCAAAAGTGCGATGCTGGTACTCGTCAGTTTGTCAGCTCTAGTAGAAGTGTTACTGCATCTTCAGCTAATATGTCTTTCTTGTAATCTATCAAAAAATAATAGACTAGACATTCAATGCGTACATCAATGTTCATGTGAAATTGCCAACTCGACAAAGCCTGCCTGGTTTTCTGCCGACTATTCGAGACCAAGACAGTTAGTCGCCTCTTAGTCGTGCAGTTTCTAAAAGGTCAGTCTAGATGTTCGAATCAACATCTCAGAATTCAAAATTCATTACTGGATGCAGGAGCGGCAAGCTTGGACATATTGCTTGGAAAGGCTTACCATGACAGACCTAATCCGAAGCCTGAATTTTTTCATAGATCTACTTCCCAAACTGTTCTTTGTCGAATGCTGAGAATCGCAAGGTTCTAGCTATTTTCACTGAAAAGGTATCCAAAAAATATCGGGGGCCTTCTTTTTTTTTGAACAGATATTATTATATATTTCTGAAAATAAGATGAGTGAACCGGAACGAAAAGATCTAAAGATCTGCGGTTTCCACCACTGGAAAGAGCAGCTCGTGGGACGTTTATCCTTGTAGAAAGTAAATTTTTCCGAAGGGATTTTCCCGACAGATCTCATACGGTAAAATCCGTAGTACCTCAAAATTAGTCGGAAAAAAAATTGTTTTTTTTCAAGTGGGTCATGCATTATTAACCACCCTGATTCCGAATATCACTATGCCAGCTGCCCTTAGGTTTTCAGAAATCGTTTTTCGAAAACTCTAAAAATAACCAAAACAACTTAAACAAATGCCAAGGACGAAAAGCTTTTTATTCGAAGGGTGTACTCATCGCTTATATTGTCACTCTAATATTTAAATTATGGATTTTAATCGGCGCCAATCTTACAATTAAACAACAACGAAACAGTGCACTCGTGTTATCGATTAATGGATGTGTTAACATAACCGATACCTCAATCACAAACATCGCATTATCGAAAAAGTAAAGTTTGACATTAAAGTAAATTTTTCAAAAAAAATTATTACAATCTTTTATTTAATAAAAATATATTTCTACCACTTTATTCAATATCCTATCTATGATATTCTTTAAACTCTGTTCTCATTACTGTGGTCATTGGCTTACTACTATCGGCGCCAGAAGTCAAAGCAGGTGGTTGCTTTTTAAATAACTATTGACAGGAATGAGATCGAGACCTACGATTCTCATTTTAAAAACTAAACATCTGATCACATCTTTTTATAAGCAAAACCGAATTCCGGAAAAACTTCTGAAGCGAGTTTTTCAGAAGATCTTTAGAAAACTAGTTTGGATGTGCCCAGATTCACATAGGGATGTATTGACTTTTTTCATGGACTGATAGCTCGGGGCGTTCTCTTCAAAATGGGAGTAAAGTGAGACCTTGATTTTCTTCGGTTGTTCGGGTGTTGTATCGGATTTGCAACGAGTCCCAGGACTGGCACTAGGTGATTCTTGGTAGCCTTAAAGACGGATGAACTAGGGGTAATCGACCATGCTGAGTCTTGTGGCAATATTTGTTTTCATAAAAAGTTTTAAAAATCTACCGAAAAGCCAGTTTTACGAAAATGAGGGTTTTCAGACTGTTTTCATCTAATATTAAAAAGTTC